CAGAACTAATTGCATCTGTTTGATCTAAAATTTCTTTATACTTATTACGATCATCGTTAGTATATCTATCAGGATGAGATTTTACAATGATCTCCCAAAGACCAGGTGTTCCAATGTATTTTTTATCTTCAATAGTTATATCATTACCTTCAATAGTTATTGGTTTTTTACCAATGTAAAATTTTTTATCATCTTCATTGTAATGTATACCAAATATGTCATCTGATACTTTTTTACTATTTTTAGCAGTATACAACTTTAAATATTCTGTTGCGATAGCTCCTAATGTCATGTTATTTACAACTTCAGGCGGTATAATTTTTCCTTGCTCTGTAATTGCTTTAGTTTCAGATAGCTTGAAAAAGTATTAGCTAATTGATCAGCTTTATTTTCTAATTTAGATAAACCTTCTTTTATTCCAGATTGACTATCTATTAGTGGTTTATACAATTTTTTAAAGTTAATTTTTAAATCATCAACACCTAATCTTTCATTCAATGTATTATGATATATATTTTTTCTTAATTCTATTAATTCTTTAATCATTTGATCTCTTTTATCAGGATCTGTAGCTTTTAAAAATGGCATTTTATATATGCAATAATTTTTTAAATTATTTTTATAATAAAGAACATAATTTATGTTTTACTTGAACATAAATTATGATTTAATTAATATTTTTATTAATTAATATTTATTTTGCTAATATTTTGATTTTTATTAAACCTATTCTCTAACAATTCCATCGCCTCTTTCATAGCTTTTTCTTTTCCTTCATTAAATATTGATTGTTTAGTTTGTTCATCAATTTCATTTTTAGATTTTGTTATAATTTCTTCAATCATTTTTTGGAACTTTTCATATTCTGAAAGTATCATTGTAAATTCTACATCATCGATTTTACCATCTTTTAAAGCTTTAGAAATATGATCACTTATAGTATTTAACTTTGCATCAGCTAATACTTTAATCTTTTCATGCTTTTCTGCTTTTAAGTTTAATTTTTTATTAACTTGTGATCCTATTAATGATAATAAACCAATACCTAATGCCGTACCTTCACATACAATAGCTACTGGTGTTCCAACTATTGTTGTTAAAAAACCGATACCAACAGCTCCAAGTGTCATAGTAGTTGCTAGTAATGAATTATCAACAACTGAAATTATTCTTGAAGCTCTATGATACTTTTTACTTAACATAGCTCTTTTACTTTTTTCACATTCGATTTTACCTTGAATTTCACTTATCTTATCTAGTCGATATCTTTGATCAATAGATAGTATTGGTGCAGTTGGATAAACTCTAAACTGACTTATATCTGGATAAATACTTTTACATTCCTCATTATTGTAATCCATTCTTTTTTATAAAGAAACATTTCTTTTAAATTACTTTAATAAATTATGTTTATGATAATTAAATCTCCTATACCTTTATTTACCAAAATTAAATATAGATTTATCAGAGTTTTGATTACTTTGTGATCTATCACTGTCTTTATCTATACTTGATAATATAGATTTAACAGAGTCTTTATCACTTTGTGGCTTTTCTTTTGGTTTTACATTTTTAGCTTCGTTAGATCCTTTGGATCCATAAGAATTAGATATATAATTAACTCTATTTATAATTCCGTTATAAGATAAGATGTAGAATAAACAACTTCCTTTTTTAATTTTTTTATCTTCTTTTTCATCATTATTATATAAAGTTACAACAATATTATCAGTAGAGCATGCTATTACAGAATTAAACAAGTATAAATATGGCTTATATTCTTCTGATAGTGCAACTAATGCATACCCTTCATCTATTCTAACTCCACATTTTGAATCAATACACTTGTATGAATTTGATTTTATTATAAAATCTCGTTCAGCAAATACTTTACATTTTCCATTATTAACTACTGCATGATGCTCTGAATCTATATTAATAGTTAAAAAAATACTTATTTTTTGTCCAATATAATTTTGAGTATATCCCATTTTGTTTATCGACATTTTTTATAAAGAAAACATTTTAACTTAAATTAAAAAATGATATAAATAATTTTCTTTATAAATAAAAAAATGGATGTCATAGATTTATCGTGGAATGTAAATAGAAGTAAACGTAATAATAATAAGTTATTACCTAAAAGTATAAGAGGAATTATTGTAGGAAAGTCAGGTTGTGGAAAAACAACTTTATTATTAAACTTACTTTTAAGACCTGGTTGGTTAGATTATAATAATTTACAAGTTTTTGGGAAATCTCTTTTTCAACCAGAATATAAAATATTAAAAAGTTCATTTGAAAAAAAATTACCAAAAGAGGTTATTATTAAACTTTTTAATTTACAAAATAAAATAGAAAAAATGAATGTTAATCCTGAGCTTATTATTGAAGACATTTCAAAAAATTTAAAAGAGAGAACAGATATTGAATGCAAGTTTTTTGAAACAGCAGATGATGTACCAGAACCTGAAGATCTCAACTCAAATAAAAATAATTTAATGATATTCGATGATTTACAATTAACAAAGCAAAACAAGTGTGAAAAGTACTATATAAGAGGAAGACATAGTAATGTTGATTGTTTCTACTTAGCTCAAAATTATTTTGATATACCTAAGAGAACGATAAGAGAAAATGCAAACTTTATATGCTTGTTTCCGCAAGATGCAAAGAATTTAAATCACATTTATAATGAACATGTTTCAAGTGACATGTCGAAAGCTGAGTTTAAAAAATTTTGTAATGAGGCTTGGTCTGAACCGCATGGATTTGCTGTTATAGATTTGTCTTCTAAAAGAGATTATGGAAAATATAGAAGTGGATTAGATAATATTTATATAACAGATTGCGCATTTTCATAAAAATATATATTTTTAAAAATATATATTTATTTATGTATTGATTCTAAAGATACCTAAAGAAACAAATTTAATAATGGGATATTCTTAAATGGTGAATTTTCACCTAATAATAAACCTTTACCTACTTGTGAATATGTTTTTCCATTTTTTACATACAATCCATTACCTGAATAACTACTACTATTAACCCATGGATCGATAAATAATCCGTCTCCTGCAACTCTAACTTTAATTCCTTGTCCATTTTTTTTCATGTAAACAATACCATTTCCAGCAATTTTATTAACTATAGTACTTCCAGCTGCAGCAGCTGTTCCGGTCAGTAATCCTGCTGCAACTGCTGGAATTACTTTTAAAGCTAAAAAACTTCCAACTAATCCTAGCATAGGTAAAAACCCTCCATTTACTTTAGCGTTATGTTTAAGTTGTGCTCTACTTAATGTAAGTGTTATACCCTTATTTTTTAAATAAGCTGCTGTCATTCTATTTATTTGTGAATCTGTTAAAGCTATTTTATGTTCACCATTTAAATCTTGATGTGTTAGTTTTATAACAGCATTAGTATCAGATTCAATTGCGTTTTTAATTTTTTCTTTCTGACTTTCTGAAAGATTTATAAGAGTATCATAATATATTGTCATTTTTATATATGCAATAATTTTTTAAATTATTTGCATAGTTTCATAAAAATTAATACTATTCTATTTAATATAATATTTTTTAAAAATTGCTAGTATTTCACTTAATAGATATTCATTTCTTTTTAAAAGTCTTACAGTATCACCAGGTTCAACACGTTCTCTAATATGATACTTAATAGTTAATTGTTCCCCAAGATTTTCAAGGAGATGCCCATCCTGATCTACTAAAGTAGTTGTTATATTAATAAATGATTTTGATGTCATTTCTGAATAAATTGGATAATCTACTTTTTCTGTAATTTTAAATCCAACACCAACTTTCGGAAAAAATGAATGTATAACATTTATAACTTTATTATTTACACGTACAGCTTTAACAAGATTATTTGTGATATGTATAGTATTATAATGCATTAAATTAGTTATTTTTTCTGATATATTACTTCCTCCACGATATATTTTACTTTCAAAACCTAAAACTTCTCTAATTGAATTTGGAATTGTAAAATCAACTTGAAACCTTGGTGAAAGAGTCATATTTGTACTCATTGTAGCAACTTCTGCTGCAAATGTAATTGTACCAGATAAATGACTTTCTTTTAGTAAATGATCATCTAAGTAATTAGTTAAAGATGCAAGTCCATATGCTCCTTTTTTAAAAGTGAAATTTACCCAATTACCACCATCATCTGTACTAAATCTAAAATTATTATTCGTTTCATTTATATTAGGAAAAGTATTATATGTATCTAATCCCATTACAGCCATTTCATAGTTTTTATCTTCATCTAGTTCAATATTTTGACCAAGCGTAGTATTTATAACAGTACCTGCTCCATGTATAATTATCTTCATTTTATATATACATATATTTTTTATATCATTTTTATGATATAAAAAATTACTTTACTTCTCTTAGATGAAATTGTATTATTATTCTTCCATTACTAAAATCTATAGAATTTTTTTCATCATCTATTACTTCAACTTTCATTTCTGAAAGTTTTTTTGATTTTAATGGGAAATAACTTCTATGATTTGGTTCTTCAAAAAGACTTACGCCTGAAGGTCTTGTCATTGGTAAAAATGAATAGATTACACTAGTGTTATTACCATATATATTTATTCCATCAACAATATTATTTAAGATATAATAACAAATTATTTTTGATGAAATTGAATAGTTAACATATTCTAATTTAATTAAGGCCATTTCATACTCTTTTGTTTCATCTAATTGAATATCTTTTTCATTAAATTTAATTTTAAGAATATTTGATCCATTAATATTATTTACTTGAATATATTTAGATTTCACATATGACATTTTATATAATCACAAATTTCTTTAATATATGTTACTCATCATCATTAATATAAATTCTTTATCGTATACAACTGCATCTAATAATTTTACAAAAAAACATTACTTATTATTAAAATTTATTTTAGACTCTTGAAAATGATTTAAAAAAATTATCTTGATAATAAAAAAATGGCAAATTCTGACACATTAAATATTACAGAAAATCCAATAATTGATGAGAGTATTGAAAAATTTGAATACCATGAATATTCTCCTAAAATTGCAAATTTTGATAACCCTGGTACTGAAATAAGTATAACTATTAATGAGGAAAGCTTGTTTACACTTCCATCTGAAGCTTATATTTTGATTGAAGGAAGACTACTAAAAGCAGATGGAACATCTTATGCTAATGCAGATGCTGTAACACTTATAAACAATGGTCTTATGTACTTATTTACTAGAGCAGAATATCAATTATCTGGTCAAACTGTAGAAAATGTTAATTGTTTAGGTAGAGCAACTACAATGTTAGGATTGCTCAAATATCCTAATTACTTTCAAAATGTTCAAGGTATGAATCAATTATGGTTTAGAGATTCATCAACAACTGCAGCGATTGCAACAAATCTAGGATTTCAAGCAAGACAATCTTATTTAATTCAAGAGCCAAACACAAAAGGAAAATTTTCCTTTTGTGTACCTCTAAAACATATTTTTGGATTCTGTGATACTTATGATAAAGTTGTTTTTGGATTAAAACATACACTTATTCTAATTAGAGAAAGTGATAATAATGCAATTTTTAGAGCCGGAGCTGCAGCTCCTGGGCAAGTCAATCTTACTAAAGTATCACTTTTTATGCCACATGTTAAGCCATCTCTTGAATATGAATTAAAACTTAAAAACATAATTAAATCAAACAAAACACTTCCATTATCTTATATTGGAAGGCAATGTGAATTAAAAAATGTTGATCCAGTTACTGATTTTAATTGGACGCTGAATATAACAACAACTAGTTCAAAACCTAGATTTATTATTATTGGATTCCAAACAAATAAAAATAACAATCAAGAACAAAATCCTGCAATATTTGATCATTGTGACATTAAAGATATGTACATAAAACTTAATTCACGAAGTTATCCTGAAATTGTTAATTATAATCTATCATTTCCAAATCAACAATTCTCAAGAGCTTATAGAGATGCAACTCTATTTAATGAAAAGTTATATGGATTGAATGAACTTATTTCACAATGCAACATGAATCCACAAGACTATAAAAATTTATATCCACTTTTTGTTTTTGATGTAAGTAATCAACCAGAAGCTACAAAACCATCAGTAATAGATGTTCAATTTAACGCAACATTTAATACAGCTGTTCCAGCAAATACTATGGCATATGCAGTTATATTGTCTGATCGAATAGGACAACTTAGTGCTGATGGAAGCAAACTTCAATATATATTTTAGATCTCTTTATGAACTGATCAATCAAATCACGTGACCGGTGACGTCATGCAAGAATTTTTCGTAATATTTCATAACAAGAAATAAAAAATGAACACTTATTTTAAAAAAATTCAATTTTTTAAAATAAAAAATTATTTCTTATCGAAATAATTTATATACAATATGGTTCAATGTTAACCCTATATTAATATTAATTTATGGTTGAAAATAGGGTTGAAAATGAAAATGTCCCAGAACCGGCAATCTCTAACTACTGGTTTTGAGCTAGAAGGATACTAAAGGTAAATTGCATAAAAAAACATTGTTTGGCTTCTATAATTTCAACAAACTTTTGTATAAATTAGATTTTATAAACAAAATAACAAGAGAAAGGTTTGTTTATATATTTTGTTACGTTTCATCTTTTTGAGAGAAAGAAGTTGAGCATGAACTTAACATGAATCTTAACAATTGCACAAAAAATCTAAAGTCAACCACTTTCTCTATCTCTAGATATTTAGTTGTTTAAAAATAAAGATTCAAAAGTTTAATATTTAAGAGGTCATTAAGATTTGTAGTTAGTACACTGCGTATAATAGCAGGTTGTGCAGTCGGTGCTGGCTTATATAAATTTTCAGAAAAACCCATCTTAAAATAAGTTTTTACCAAATTCAATTTCGTGGACCTTTTGTTTGGAAAAATTTTCTTCACATTTTTAATGATAAACTAGAATTCGTCTTAAACTGCACAATAGAAAGTTTTAAGGCTTATTCAAAACAGCATTTATTATACATGGACTTCAATATATTAGATTTCAAGTACATATTTTGAAAATAATTTAATTGTTTGAATCAAAAAGTTATTTTAAATCTTTTACAACATTTCTTTAAATCTTTTACTACATTTCTTTAAATCTTTCACTACATTTCTTTAACTTTTTTACTACATTTAATTAAATTTTTAATTTTGTTTGTTTTTGTTGTGCTTTTGTTTATATTAAATAATTAGTAATAAATATTTAGTTATATTTGATTATTTGTAATAAAACACAATACAATTTTTGAAGTTTGATAACTTCTTGGTTATCTATCTTTTGTTTCATTTTATTACTTAAATTGTTCCGTTGAAATATTGTTAAAAGTTTCTATTTTTCATTTTGGAAGTTTTTTTTGAAAGTTTTTTTGTGTATATTTTATTGATTATTTCGCTTGTAAATATTTAAAACGTTTACAAAACGCTAACGGAGGCTAACTATGTACTAACTATGAGGCTAACTAACGGAGGCTCGTTGATAAGACAATTTGTCTTCTTCTTGCTCTTGCCAGGTTTTTATTTAATTTTAATTTTTTTTTGTTATTTTAACTAACGGCAAATATATGAAGAAAAAAAATTAACTAGCCTATATACTGCAGGATATAAGCTAGCTAATTTGGAGCTCCTCTTTAAATTTTTCATAGGCATATTTTGTGCCTAAAAAATGGTTTACTATTTAATCATTTTAGCTAAAACTTTCAATTTACAAAATTTAAATAAAGTAAAGGTTTACTGTATAGGCGGTAGTGTTTTAAATCGGCTTAAAAGATATTAATATAAATTAAAGCAGTTTGAATACGTTGATGTGGTATTACCAGTAAACTTGCTTGATATAACTTGTGGAGTTAAGAAATATCAGTTTCTCTTCTCTTTCTTATTTATATTAACGATCTTAATAAAGCCTCAAAGTTAATTACAATTATGTATCTCATAATAATACTATATTACTATTTCATAATATGAATAAAGAACTAGTAAAAGTTTCTGATTGGTTTAAGACAAAGAAACTTACTCTAAATGTTAATAAAACAAAATAGACGCCAGCTCATTTTATTGATAGTATATACGTATATATATATATATATATATATTTGATATATATATATATATATATATATATATATATATATATATATATATATATATATATACATATATTTGATATATATGTATATATATATATATATATATATATATATATATATATATATATATATATATATATATATATTTGATATATATATATATATACACTTATTTAAAAGCACACTTATTTAAAAGCACATTTATTTAAAAGCACACTTTTCTAAAAGCACACTTATTTAAAAGCACAATTATTTAAAAGCACACTTATTTAAAAGCACAATTATTTAAAAGCACACTTATTTAAAAGCACACTTATTTAAAAGCACACTTATACTTAAAGTATATTATTTACTCATTCATTGTCACATATACCATGCAAACATTGCGTTGGGTAGCACTAATAAAAATAAACTAAAACATCTTCTTCGTCAAAAGAAACATGTTGCACGCCGCATAGATTTTAAGAACTGATTTACTCATGCCAAATCTCTTTTTATTAAAATGAAAGTTTTCAACATATATGTGCTTAATATTTTTAATGTTATTTACTTTATGTTTATGTAAAAACAATCTATCCCTTGCATCTTTTCATAATTTGTATACTAAAAAAGAAAAAACTAGATACAATTTACGAAATGATAACGACATTCGTCAATCAGCTTATCAAACTAATTTTGGAAAATAATTTATTTTATTTCGAGAATCTTTTCTTTGGAATAGAATAGTTTTAAAAAAAGTTGACTTTTTTTTGAGAGTTTATCTCTTTTTCAAACAAAAACTTCAAAAAGTCATTTTTTTTTTAAAATGACTTTCTTTTAACTTTTTTTAAAATTCAACAATTTAATAACTGTTATTTAACACTTTTTGTAATCATAAAACTGTATACTTACATCTATAATTAATAATGGAACTTTTTAAAATACTGTTTATGTTTTCAATTTTGATTTATTAATTTTACCTGCTAGCTTAAAAGCTTGAGTTCTTTTGTTAAGCTTGAGTTCAAAATCTCCTGAGAAATGTACAACTTACATAAGCAATTACTTTTAACTGTTTGAGGTAAAGTCAGGTTTAGGGTCATCATGATCACCCTGCTAATGGTAACATGTAGTTTAGTACATCCTGCCCCATGTTATGTTGTCTTATAAGATTCAATTTTCCAGGCAAAGGCAAGTAGAAGTAAGCTCTTACTTAAAATATTTCTACTTTGGGACTCTTGTTAGAGTAAATGCTGAATATGGTATCTTGTTAAAAATATGTATTTGTATCTGGTTACTTTCTTACAGAAAGCCTTCAAAAAAACACTTTTAGGGAAAGTGAAAAATTATATATTTTTTAATTTGTATTTTGTGTATATATTTCGTAAATGAACAAATAATTTTACAATGTCCTTGTAAAAAATAAAACATATTCTTTAAATTCTGACAAGCAAACAGAAGACAATACACCTTATCACCTTGCTCCTTAGGTAGCGAAATAGTTCACTTTAGTTTAACGTTTAAATTCATAAAACATATAAGTATAAAATTAGTTCTTATATTTAAGAGTTAAACATACACATACATATTAGTTTATAACAAAACGAGTTAAAAATAAAAAGTTCTGTTTACCAGCACATCTTCATCTATTGCCATAGATGCAACTTGTATTATATTTTTTTCCTGCCTAGGATGATGAATGTTATATTTTCTTAATTCTTGTCATGGGTTTTTTTCTTGTTCCTCCTTTATAGTGGCTATGCAACTGTCTCAGTTATCTCCTAATGAGGGTACAGCTCTAAAACTCAGTTTAATGGTTCTAAGACCGGTTTGTAAAGTTTCCCAAACTTTTTAGTAGCTATCAGAGAGGCTGATTCCATCAACAGCTGTAAAATACCAGAGTATTTATAGTGTCATGTTACGCAGGACAACTGTTCCTGTTAGTGCTTCTAGTGTGACAGTTTACTTGATAACTCGTTTTCAAGACAATCCTAATCATTTGTTTTGACTTGTCTCAGCCCCTATTATACGCTCAGTTTTTCCTTGTTCTCTTTTAAGTGGTTCGGACCATGTTCTAATCTCTCTAAAACATTATCTCATATTTCTTACTTAGACCCTACCATTCACCCTATCATTGTACTTCATACTACAACCTTAAAGCTGACTGGAATTTCTTTTGTGATTTTCTTCCTTGATATATTACCAATTCTCTGCTGATAATTGCGTCTACTACGCAATCTTCTAGATCTAGGCAGGTATTTTATTCCTTTCCGTCGGTTTTAAATCAACACTCATTTTATTCTGTTGGTCTTCATCGTGCAGCTGCTGTTTCTAATTTTATTATTATTTTTTTTTCATCTTATTTACAGAACGCTTTTCTTACCTTTTCTTAGGATAAAAAATTTCTTCTTGTAATATATATATCTTCAAATATATATATATATATATATATATATATATATATATATATATATATATATTACATATATATATATATATCAATATATATATCAATATATATATATATATATATATATATATATATATATATATATTACATATATATATATATATATATATATATATATATATATATATTACATATATATATATATATATATATATATATATATATATATATATATATATATATATATATATATATATATATATATATATATATATGTAATATATATATCTTCTTCAATATATATAAAAACATCTTGTATCCTAAATCTAGTGGTCACACTATTCTTGTAATTAAGAGAAACTGGTTAAATTATTCTTAGACATCCTAATCACTTCGTCTTCCTTTGATAAAGGTGTTTCTATATTAATTATTTATCTATAAATCTTACCTCTAAAGTGGCTTTATTTGACGACGTTTTTATATACTCCTGTCTTGACAAAAAATTTATTATTTTTTAATCAATTAAAACAAACAGCCGATATTGGGTTTAATCTCTTTTCTGTAATAGGTTTGTGCAGCAGCTAATGAAATATAACCCACAAAAAACACTCGGATACAATTCCACCAGGCTTGTCCCAATAAATGGTTTCTTTAAAGCAATCTCCATCGAAAAAAAGCTTTGAAAACTGAAAATGTTTCGACATCAACATTAAAGGTACCAGGTCTTCTAGTTATTGAGACCTCCGTTTTCGTTTTTCCGTTTTTAATTGTTGATAGTGTTGTGTTCCTCAAAATAATGTCTTTCTACTGAATTGAAATCTAAGTTATGAGTAAAAAAATTGCGGAAAAAACATGTTATAAAAAAAAATTTATACGCCGTCTTCTAAAGTTTTTGTTTTTTAAATCGTTTTATCTCAAAACTAAAAAATGTGGAGATAGAACAAGATAATTCTAACGTCGCGAAATATGTGGCATTCCAATTTAAAGGTAATATTATGTAGTTTCCAAATAATATATGGTTTAGTATTACTAAATATCCTTTTTTTTTTGAGGTATTTGAGGAAGTATACAAAATTTAAAAGTTTTTTTTTTTTTCTCCCTTAAGGAAACAGACTTTTCGATTCAATTATATGAAAAGAAAGGAAAATTTTTTATTTAAAACGTTAAAAAAAAAAAATTAAAATAAATATTTTTATTTTTTTCATTCAATTTTTTAGGAAATAAAAGGTTTTTTTTATTTTTGACTGTAAATCTGGTGCATATATTTAAAATTAGAAAATTTATGTGAAAAATCTCTCTGCCAATATAAACTTAAATTTTACATGTTTTTTAAAACTTTGATAGGTTGTCATTTCTTAACCAGGCATGATTATGACCTCTAGTCTTTTGCATTATATTCGAATTTTATTCTAGTTTCAAAAAGTTATAACAAATTTTAGTCCCGAAAAATAGATTTTTTTATTTTATCTACCATTTGGACCACTGTGGAATGTTCCAAACATGAAAATATCTGCTTCAAAAGGTGCACATGCATTTGATTGTAGTTATATAAACAACAAATGTTGTCATGTTAGAATTTTGCAGAGGATCATTTAGTGCAGATTTTTATAACAAGTGGATTTTAGCTATGTGTCACCCGTGTGTTATATTCGGGAATCGTTTAAAGGATCAGGAGGTATATTGGCCGAGGTGGAGATGAAGTATACCGGCCCCACCTAAATAGTATAATTAGTAATATTTTCAGCTCTATTTATTATTAACTATGTTTATGCTTAAGCTATTTTTTGTAATATAAAATAAATGATAATTCCTTGCATAGGCAAATAGTAAAATAATTTAACTGTTACTTTAATACGAGGGAAAAAAATTAATGTTGGTAGATGGAAAAAAAGCTAACATTAAAGAACTGATATTATATGTTGTTCTTTATTAAAGAACAATATATAATATCAGTTTAGGATAACATTTTATACATTAAACTTGAGCTATTTTTAGGATACTCTACAACTTCAGATATGTCTTCTATTAGTTGTCTCTCTAATGACATAACAATTAGTGTTTCAAAGTTTTCTTAACATAAACTGAAAGGAAGACGGGATTTTATAATCTTAAGCTTGCTAAATGTATTGTAAATGTAAAAATACTTATTGTCAACAATGCCAACACACTAAGCTGATAATTGATCAACATAACACTATATAAAGAAATCATGTTCATATTATTATATGATTATTGATTATAGCGGATAAGAAATTAAAATAATAGACTGTATGATAGTTAAATTACCATAATATCACAAACTTAAAATTTATGCAGTTACAACGACTAAATCCTGTAGAGGATTTGGTCGTTATAACTGCAGCAAAAAATACAATAATGCGAAGTGATTGTTCAGGTGTTGTACAACAGTACGACCACGCATTACGCAACAATCTAAAATATAAAAGACTTCTTAGCTGATGTTTAACTGAATATTGCAATGATTTTTAATGATATTGTTTAGGTTCTATATAGATAATTTTTTAAATTCAATATAAATCTTTTCAAAATTTTTTTAAATAAATTATCTGTGTTTTATTTATTATTTATCTGAATTTTTCACAAAACAAAAAAAGAGAAAGTTTTAACTGACACCCAATAAAATTTTTCCGCCAAAACCGCAAATGCTTTTTTTATTTTATTGATTCTATTTAAGTTAAGGTAACGAAATTAAAATGACAAAGAACTTTGTTCTGAGAATCTTTTATATAAACTTTTCTTAATAACAACTATTTTGTTCCTATTTACTTCTTACGATTTCTTATTTACAACTTTCATGTTTTAAATTATATCTTACGTTTCTTAATTACATTTTTCATATTCTAAATTACATTTTTCATTTCTCAATTACAACTTTCATCTTCTCAATTACATATTAAGTTTCTTAATTACAACTTTCAATTTCTTCAATACATCTTGAAAAGTTGTTGGTGTAAACGTAAAACTATATATAGGATTTAACATGTATGGAATGTTTTTAGATAAATTTGGTTCTACGGAACCAATAAAATTAATTAATTCACTTTTAATTTTTTTTTGAATCATTTACTTTATAACCATTTATTTTTATAGCTTTAGTCAAAAGAACATGATTTTAATTTACAATTGCCTGTAATTTCACCTAAAATTTGCCATTTTTGAATTGAGTTTATGTTCCTCTAATAAACTACATATGTGTATGAGTGTGTGAAAGGTACCTGCAATAAAAATAGCTGCTCAACAATCAATTATTCAAAAACGATTTTAAAACATGTTTATTAGATATTGCTTGTTACAAAAAGTTAGCAAATCACATTTAAATAATCAAATCAATTAAAACATAAATAATAAAAAAAATTATTCTTTCTAAATAATAGATAACAAGAGAATTCACTATAGTTACAGCTTACTCTCTAATATTATTTTCTACAAAAGAAAAAAAAAACAAAAAAACAAAAAACAGATGACGACGAAAAAATAAATGCAAAAGGATTTTTTAAATGATTATTTTTTAAGAAAAAACCCATAAAACCTTTATAAAACCTAAAGACTAACCTAAAAACATAAATTAATAAACTCATATCAAATTTTTCTACAGCATAGGCACCCATGCGCGAGTATATATATATATATATATATATATATATATATATATATATATATATATATATATATATATATATATATATATATATATATATATATATATATATATAACACAAAATAAAAAAATCATTTACTCAAAAGATTTCAAAATAATTTTTATAACAATTTCAAATAAAAACGATCAGCATAAATATTTCAGAATTATATTTGCGTGAGTGACAATGACTATTGACATTCAGGTATAAAAATATCACTCAAGTAAAAAATTACTTTGAGTTAATAATTGAAACTCTTGCGTGAACTTAATAACATTTTAAAATTCATATTGTCAGGAATTTTCCTAAAAGTCACTTTTAACACCTTGTTTCATACAAACCACTTTTCGAAATATAACGAACCCATTTAATAACATCATGATCACTATAATTTAATTTTGATTCAAAAACTTTAAGATAGCGAACTTTTAAACCGGAGCACGAAAATGGAACCTGTCAAACAAATAAAATATAACTCAAAATAACTCACAATTGCTTCTTTTTATAGAATTTTCAATATTAAATTTTAATGCATGTTATTAAAAAAAAGAAGCTGTAAACTCACTTCAAAGTTAAGGGATATCGGTGGTCTAGTCCATTTCTTTGTATCTCTCGTAGGAAGCAACTCTATTTCGGCACTAATTTGTGACTCTTTCATTCCTGCCATCCGTCTTATTCTAATAAAACAATAACACTTATGCAATTATCAAACAGAAATTTTTAAATAGTAGCTTCAAGTCAATTATTGTTAACCCGTGTATTATTGTTATATTATATACTCATAAGTGTTTGACTTATAAGTATATAATATAACAATAGTTGATTACTTATTGCATAGTAAAAAAAACTGCAATATTTTTTATATTTTTAGGCACCTTAAAATATCACACATTAAATACTATTGCAAACCATGGTGGTTATACAGTGATGCAACGTTAGATTTATGTATTACCTAGCCGTGCGTTATGAATATCGTTAGTCTGGTACCGTTTTAATTTTCTGTCTGTTTTAAATATCGGTAGCCTGGTACCTTTTAATTTACCATATCAGCTGCTATAGGATATTATTTGTAACTAATTAAAATAATTCAGGGGGTTTACGAGGATCTTAAGAGTAAAACTAAAAAGCATTTTATTATATAGTATATATTGACCTGAATTATTAGTACAAAGAGATTAAGAAATAAATCTACAAGAAGAAAATTTTTTTAGAGAAATATAACGTTAATGGTATCTGAAAAGATACAAGAATAAAATATATTACATGACAACTATTCAATACATTAACATATTTAAAAAAAATCGTGGTAGAAACTGTTTGCATTCAATATAAGCATATTCAACACATTTATTACTTTAAATAAATATAACTCAAATATCAAAAAAGTATACATTTAATCTCTTATAATTATAAACTATTCCTAGTAGAGGCATTAAAAATGTTTTTGTTTCTCAATGTTTAGTTATATTTAGCAAAGTGTAACAAATAACATTAATAAAGAAAGAATTTGTCAGTGTCAAGACTTGCGGCTTGTGATCTAGCAGTTCTGTAAAATATAAACTTAGAAAAGTCAGGTAATTTATTTAATTCATGCATTATAACAATAAAACAATTCAAGTCCTTTGTCAATTGTATTAAAGTATATTAATCTGTAATTTTTAAATTCGAAGACGATGATGACTCTAGAAGACGTTGCTCTTTTCAAAGGTCAAGAGGTCAAACTCCTGATAAAGTTATGTTTTTATTTCCAAAATTCTTACATCTCACACGGTCAACTCTATGTTACATGTTAAAGAAGAAGTTCGTTGAATACCTTTTTAATACCTTTCTAATACTGTTTTAAAGACAAAAAAAAATCTGTTTGCTTTTATATAAAAAACCTTATCATTTGATCGTTTGTTTTTAAAGTTGTTAAACATTTATTACAAGGTATGTCATTAAACAAATATTAAAAAAATAACGTTGTATTTGTTAAGTTTCTAATGTATATATTTTTCTTAATTTACATATTTATATTTGTGTATTATTTATTATGTATTTATATGTGTTAAGGCTTACATTTTGTAAGTGTGTAAATATCTTTTATATATGAAGTGTTTCCATGTTTGTGATATATTGTTATTTGTTTATAGTTTGTAAGTGGTTATTATGTTGTTTATATGGTTTCAAACTGTTGTGACTTGGTTTAGTTTACAGCAAGAGTGTTGACCTTGCTAGCCAAGTGGTGTACTTTGCTATAATGTGACTTGACTTTGTTGTCGATGATAGTTAAGTGGTGTACTGTCATGATGAAACACATAAATTAAATCTGTTTGTAGTTAGTTTTTTAATATCTATAGCCTTTTTAATATTTATAATTTTAAGTAAATTTTATTAAACAGATTTATACTTCATGAAATATTTTTTATACTTTTACTTTTTGAGTAAATTTGTTTAAAAGATATATACTCTATTCTTTATTGTTAACAATTTATGCTTTGTATGATAAATTTTGTTAAAAAACTGGCTCCTTTTTACAAACAGCTCCTCCCCATTTAAACATTTAAGAGTCTTTATTTCCTTCATTAAATATGTTCAACTTAAAGTTTAACTTAAACTTATTGTTTGTTTTTTTATAAAGTTATGTGTACAAAGTGTTACGTAAGTTTTAGTAACTTTCATTATATTTTTAATATTTTTCGTATAGAGAATGTTTTATTCACAATAATATTTTAATGTTTTATAAATTGACCTTTTTTCTTTAGAATATTTAAATATCTAAAGAAAATTAAAACAGTTCAAGAAGTTTCAATATTTTCAAGTTTCTTCACTTGTAGCTAATATATGATTGTTTATAGAGGTTTTCTATTAATAGTTTTATATTTACTTATTAATTGTAAATCTTGCATTAAATGCGCTTCAAAGTAATGAAAAAGATTTTTTGATATAAGGAATACATTTCACCATTTAATACTAGCAGTATTTGCTATTATATTTTAAAACATCTTATTTAAATATGACTAACAGTAGAGGTAGAATATAATTAGATTACTTTATTATACTCAGTTTTATTTGCTTACACTTTATTTTATTTTATTTTTCTTAATATAAGAAAACAAAAAGTCTTTAAATAAAACTTTTACTATATCATTTTTATACACTCCTTTGATGCTTAGTTATGTCTGATAATTAAAGAAGTAAAATTAAAAGGCTTCATTGAAATTAAAGAAAGGTAGGCTAGGCAAAATGAATTTAACCGCTGCCAAAACGAAAGAGATGAGCTGAGGCTAGCTGAGGTAAATTGAAATGAAAGAGATGAGCTAGGTGAAATGAAAGAGATGAAAGAGATGAGCTAGGTGAGCTGAAATAAACTGCTGCAGAAATAAAAGATATCAGGATAGGTGTTATAATTCCTTTTTTACTTTTGCTTTCTTTGCAGTCAAAATACCTCATTCCACAAATAATTGCCCTGTTTTAGGGTTTATGGGCAAATTTTGTATCGTGTTGAAAATTTAAGGCCAGAAGAAGGTTTTCTACCCACATATTGTCAGATATATATATATGATCCTAATATAGCAGTGTCATTCAGAATGGAGCAACCTGGTAATGATGATTATGTAAATGAGTTAATGCTACTCTTACAAACTTTAAATAATCAAGAAAACCCATTTGCTTCTGCATTTAAAAACATGGCAGAAGTAGAGTAGAAAAAAGATGATGGCACAATTAACTGGAGCATTATGTTACTTTGTCCCAGTATTATAGCTATAGGTTTGCTGTTAGACAAACTTTTAGTAAATACAAACTAATTAGTCCTATATAATTAATGTTTATTTAATGGTGCTTACTCATTCGTGTGTATTTGAATAAAGTTTATAAAGAAGATTAGTTACGTATAACCATATAATATATATCACTTTATATTCTTGACCACATGATAAGGTATTCTCAAATCTTTATTATCTCTATTATAATCTGCAATATCTGTTGAATCAGCTATAAGATCTTAAATTATTAGATATTAGATAATTTGATGCAATCATAAATTCTGTGTCATAAATGTGTGTATATATATATATATATATATATATATATATATATATATATATATATATATATATATATATATATATATATATATATATATATATATGCATATATAATTATTTTTTAGTTGCGTTTTTCCTGAAATATTTAATAAGCATCTTAACGCCATACAAATATTTTTATTCAATCAATCAATGTAATAATTCAAGTTTAAGCAAGTACAATAATTTTATTCTTTTACTTATATTTAATTGTTATACACACTTATACTTGGCATCTTGCAGTGATTGATTGCTTTTATTGTAATTTTAATTTTTATGTAGCTGTAGCTTTTTCAGCTACAACAAGAAAGATGTTGTACTCACTTATACTTGACTCAATACATTGATTAATTGTTTTTATTATTTTAATATACATATATATATATATATATATATATATATATATATATATATATATATATATATATATATATATATATATATATATATATATATATATATATATTCAAATAAAAAATATTAAATATCTATATAAATTATTTAACTAAAGACACTTTTATTAACAATAATCAATGATAATAAAAAAAGATCAGGATCAAACATTTGTTTAAAATTGTTTATTTGATAAAGCTATTATTCTCAAAAAGGCTTGGTTTTCATAAAACCAATTCTATGTAGCATGTTCTAAAACCAAATCATTTACATTACACATGCATTCCATTGAATGAAAATTTCACAAATGTTATATTTGTCAATGTTCCTTATTTATAATTTTCAACAAGTATTTTTGTGTTATATGATGTGGTTTGTGTGTTTTTATTATGTGTTATATAAGGCTATATGGGTTTATATTTTGTTAGTGTTTCTATGCGTGTGGTGTAAGTAGTTAAATTGAGAACAATAAACTCTGGATAACTCAATAACTCTTAACTGAAACAAATTTTAAAATTTCATTTGAGCCTTTATTTATGGATTATTTTGCCAATAACTCTAGCATTCTTTAACATGATAATTTCTTTGTCCCCTTTAAGGTTTGAGTAATTTAGAGTTTACTGTAATATGTTATGTTATTTGTTAATTTTGTGATATTATTATTATGTTGATAGATTAGATGACTTGGTTTACTTTCATGTCGGGGTCTCTAATTTAAAATGATTATTGGGTAGTTGCATTAATGAAACTGACTACATATAATCATTCACTATAAGCCAGAGATTCAGTTTTCAAATAAAAACAAATGTATATCTTATTGTAATCATTTATTTTTAGCCTTGCTTTTTTAAATAGAGTTGTTAATCCAAACTTGCAACAATAAATCTTAAAACTTTCACAAAAAATAAACAACCGCACAAAGTATGTTTCTTATTTGATATCTGTTTAGTCACATTTTTGAATTTTCAAATAAATAAATAGAGTACATAACAAATTAATGTGTATTAAGTGTATTCAATAATAATTTTGTTCCATTTTTAGGTCGAATTCCTTCTCTTATGACTGATTTTGAAAGTTCCTACATAACAGAATTTAAGAAATGTTCTCAATGTTGATTGTATTCAAAAAGCTAAAACAAAGTTTATTTTTTTAATTTATCTCAAGAAATTTTTTTTGTTTGTTTATCAAATAAATTTCTTTATTTTTTATCTTTAGAA